TAATTGTGTTCTAAAGATGGAAAATTTATTTCAATTTAGCTGGTGCTTCTGTATGTATATTGCAAGTTGCCGCGGAGTTTTGGGGGGTTTTTCAGTTGTAAAGTTTTGTTTACAGAAATAGTAAAAATGTGGTTTAATTAGACAAGAAAATGTCCCAGTAATTTAGTGTTGTTTGGGCCAAATTTGCAGGGGAATTCCAAATTGGTGACCACATAGAACCATTAGATCCGGATTTGATAGCAAGCTTTGTTCAATATGGAGTTTTTGGTTCAGGATTCAATTATGAAGCTACTGGTTCCTCCCTTGTTTATAATCAAGTTTATCCATATGAAGGCCTCCAAAACTACACTTCTGGAATCATACACCACGTTCTTCTAACAGGTATTTATAGACTATGCTAATTGAGAACTTCGTAAATGGAGGTAGATAATGATAAATTAGAATGATATATATCTGTTTTATCTAGAACAAAGGTCAATAGGAAGACTAAACTATGAAAATACTAATGATGCGAGGACCCCTTGGATGCATGCATTAAAGGGGAGGAGCCGAGGGAACTGTCTGTTACATTTTAACCTGTGGAATTTTTCAATTAGTATCACACCACTATCATGTTTTTCTGCAGGATTGGACCCCAACACGCTGTATGAATATCAATGTGGAGATCCTTATATTCCAGCAATGAGTTCTGTCCATTACTTTAGGACGATGCCTTCCCAATCTAATGATTACCCTAGCAGGATAGCCGTGGTTGGAGACCTTGGTCTCACTTATAATACAAGCACAACATTCAATCACTTGATCAGCAACCATCCTGATCTTGTTTTGTTGGTTGGAGGTCTAAGTTATGCTGACTTCTATCTTACAAATGGAACTCAGTCTGACTGTTACTCCTGCTCATTTCATGAAACATATCAGCCTCGTTGGGATTACTGGGGAAGGTCAAACTCCAATACCTTAAATTTGTGACCTACTACTTTGTTCACCTTATTGAATGCTCTATATTAACATTAATAAAATTCCACATGAGATTTTGTAGAAGCTGATCTTACTGTTGAATAGAAAAAATGAATTAAGTGATCCATTTTATTTTCAATCAGACAAATAAGGCAACTGGTCATGTAGAAGTAGAGCATCAGTCAATAACTATTAGGTATTGTGTGCATTATGATCTAGATAATAAGTTGTAAGCAACAGTAATTCACAGTCAGAGATACCCTCCCTGTTTATTCAGATTTTCTGTCTCTATTTTTTTCCAGTATTTTCATTTTGTCTAGCAAAACGGTGAAGAATGATCTTCTCATTGGCATTTTCCTTCTGATTTCTTTTAACATTTCTTCTATGTTAAAAAGCATTACAGCTCACATCCTGTAGATACTTTTTTGCAGGTTTATGCAGCCTTTGCTGGCTAATGTTCCAACTATGGTGATTGCGGGGGACCATGAGATTGAAGAACAGGCTGAGAGTCAGACATTTGTTGCTTATAGTTCTCGGTTTGCTGTTCCTTCTGAAGAAAGTGGATCATCATCCACATTGTATTATTCATTCAATGCTGGAGGAATACATTTTGTGATCCTTTGTCCTTACATTTCCTATGACAAATCATGTACACCCAACAATTCATCATTTTCCCTTGTGTTGGTTTCATGTCGCATATATTGTTGTTTCTGTTCTGCTTGTGGCTTATACCTTGTTTTCTCTTGGGTAGAGTACCATCAACATTTTCCCTTATGTATCATAGTGACAGTTATATTTCTCTCCACTTATAGTGAGATTCCCTTGTTCCCTGGATTGTAGCTGATCAATACCACTGGCTGGAATGGGACTTAAGTAATGTGGACAGAACGGTGACACCATGGTTGATTGCTGCTTGGTACCCTCCCTGGTACAGCACCTACAAGTCACATTACAGAGAAGCAGAGTGCATGAGAGTGGAAATGGAAGACCTGCTGTTCTATTATGGCGTTGATATAGTATTCAACGGGCATGTAAGTGCGCTAAATTATCTCTCTGTCAATCCCATTCTCTTTTGTTACCACAAAACAGATGCCATGTTATTCTTTCCTTTCTGGAATTTCATGTCCCATGATTCATTCAGAATTATGTTTCATGTATGTGGTTCTGAGTTTATTATGAGCAAAATAATTTCACAAGGTGAAGGTTTGTTCATTTACCAACAATGTCAGGTTCATGCCTACGAGAGGTCAAACCGAGTATACAACTACACTCTGGATCCATGTGGTCCAGTTTATGTTACTGTTGGTGACGGTGGAAGTCTAGAGAATCTCGACATTGAGCATGCTGATGAACCTGGTAATTGTCCAGATCCTTCAACAACACCAAATAATTACATAGGCGGCTTCTGCGCATTCAATTTTACATCAGGCCCAGCGAATGGTAAATTCTGCTGGGATGAACAGCCTGATTATAGTGCATACAGAGAAAGTAGCTTTGGCCATGGCATTCTTCAGGTACATTTGTGCACATATACATTTCTGTCTTAAAACACAGACTGCAATGCTCTACATTATCTTTTACTACAACTTTCTGAAACTGGTTACCAAACATTTGTTGTTCGGTCTATAATGAGACCAATAACTAATGAGTGTGTTTGTGGCTTCCAGGTGGAAAATGAGACTCATGCTTTGTGGACCTGGCACCGGAATCAGGATAAATTTAACACTGCTGGTGATATAATTTACATAGTAAGGGAGCCTGATAGATGCCCTGTTTAACCAAAGGTAATAGGTGCAGTTCCCTTCTTACTCTAAATCTTTCTGATAAGAGGTTTCATGTCACGCCTTTGGAAAGGAATTGCTTGGTCTAGCGTTTAAATTGTACAATAAAAGGAAGAAAAGAGATTCATCAGAAAGGAAATTGCTAGGATTGCATTGAAATGAATGTGAGACTACAAGATTGGACCATGATAGAGGTCATTCTAGTGCCAGCTTTCTGCTAATCAAGCTATGAATGACATTACTAGGAACCAATTTCAAGCCTGAATACAACCCTTGCATTCCAAGAGGCTAATATTAAAACTTAATAAAGGCCAATGCCTGTTTAGAAATCTAGAAAGAAGGCTCCAACTTCTAACAAAAATGCCTCTTCCATTGCAGCAGGATTTAAAGGCTTAGCGCAGGTTGCAGAATAATTGAGATCACAACTAATAGTGCAACCGGGATTAATCCTGTGATAGCTAAATGCCCTGGTGGAGCTTCAGAATTGTCTGTTGGTATTGGCGGGTTTGTTACTGGATTTAGTCCTGTACTGCCAGTGCCATCACCATAGGTTGGTGTTGTCGTTGTTGCTGGGGCATTTGGGTTGTCTGCAGTTGTTGTTGGCGTGCTAATCCCTCCTGCTGTGCTGGAAATTTTAAAACTCAAGCTGTTAGGTAGACCTTCAGCTACAGCATAAATAATTCTGTAACTTGGAGAAATTTCCCATCTCTCCATCCTTAAGAGATGGGTTCCAATCCCTTAGTCCCCATATCTAAAAAAGAAAAAAAATTACTTTATCACCAAACTTAGACTAGGATTGTGATTGTCCCAACTGAGATTTTTTTTCTTCTTCTATTCAAAATTGAAAAAAATAATAATTATCAACAGAGAAAGGAGTGGAGAGACTGGTCCAGAATTCTAAAGCAGATTCTGTTGAGCATCTTTAAAACCAAAAGTTGCCCATTTACCATTCTTGAAGTGAAACATGATCTAATATGTACAGTGCAAAATGCAAATCTCGGAAAATTTTCCAGGAACGATATGAACAAACAGAGGTTATGGTAAAAGCTCATATCTCTAGAGTCTACGCCAAGGAATTTTATATTTCTGTTTCCTAATGCATTTTCTATGATTCCATTCCCAGTGGACTTAAAAGCACTATTCTACGTCACTTCAGTTGCTTTTCAAATAATAACTACATGAAGTGCAGCTAGTTTATTTATTTATTTATTATGCATGATTTATTCACTTTTGACAAAGGAACAAAAGCACTCTCATAACCCATATTTAATCAATTAATCCTTTAATTTACTTTTTGATATTTAAGACATCAAAGAGTTGTTTGAAAAGAAAAAGAGGCTAGAGAGCACTCACCAAAAGATTATACCTACAGAAAAACCACTAAAACAGTGGATGGGCAGATAGCGGTGTGTGTATATATATATATATATAACTTTTAGGCCAAAACTCCTTATGTAAGGATAGGTCTAAGATCCTTAATTTCGAACTGAAGTGAAGTTAAATTTAGTACTTCCCAGTTCTATGGCTACATGATAAATGCAATGAACATGTCTACACCTAATTTACATAATTTCCTAGTCCCGAAATAATTGCCTGAAGGGACACATTATTCTCCGATTATATTGTTAAGCAAGCCACGTGAACACCTTGTTAAAGCCTATAAATGCCCTCCAAAGGTCACTTTAAAAAGGTAATTGAAACCAACCTAAAGCTCCTTTCTCATTATTCTAAAGAGGTAGATCTAATTATTGCTAACTTAAGCATCGGAGTGTCTACTCCAAGGACCCATCTCGAGGCTTTGCAGGTTCATCCGAAGTGAAGATGCAAACTGAAGAAGGACTTCTGATTTGGTGCAATTATATCTTATTTACACCTTGGACAATAATATTTTTGGTCATAAACACTCTTTAAATTTTCTATTCTCAATCAACACCATCTAAAATTTGAAATCTATAGAAAAACTTAGAAGTTAATTATAAAACTCTTTGTTTACATCTTGACTTACATGTGACTTAGTCGTTAATTTTAAATTTTTAATAAGTTTCAAATTATAAAAAATATTGACTAATAATAAAAATTCTAAAAAGTTTTAACTGCAAAAAAACAATAATATCCCAAGCATAAATAGAGAGTTTGGCCAAACTCTAATGCATGGTTTCATTTCTAAATTCAAGATGCCTAGTTCCGCATTGAAGCTAACTTTCCAAATTTTGATTTTTAATTAAGATATTATTCTTTTATATTTTCTTTAACAGCACATTGTTTTCCCTTTTTTTTTTTAACAGAATTACATTTGTGGGGATGAGAGAATGGAAAGAACTTGAACTCAATGTGAGGGACAGCAGTTGCTTTAATTGGAACTTTTATTTTAACAGCACATCGTTTTGAAGTTTGAAAAGACAACAAAACAAAAACCATTGGATAATAAACGGCTCTCACTATCAAGGCCCACTCAGGGTCTCACCCGCTCCTATCAATGACTGAGTTAAATTGTGTAGTCTATTACACCATGCACTGCACAACAATTTAATGTTTTTAATTCTATATCTTATAGGTCATAAAAATCAGAAGCCATCTTGTCATATGTGGACCTCCTAACTGAAGGGTATTTGAAGCCTAAACGAATTGTTCAAGAAAACCTGGATGAAAAGGGGAAAAACAACTGGGTCAGAAAGAGCAGTTGAACATCAGGGAAAAACAAGATGGTGTGAATCCTAGCCGTTGAATATCATCAGAAAACGGGGTGGTCCATTTGACGGTAATAAAGAAACAAAGGGTCTCATCAAAACATGCCAGAAACTGAAATTAGTAGTACCAGCAGAGCGAGAAGCCCAAGATGTATGTCGAAAAAGGAAAAAAGTGACATGACAGCGCCTGAGGACAACGCGTTGTTTGTATAAAATGGACGGTCATAGATTAAAAAAATGAAAATAATTTAAAAATAATTTTTTATATTATTTTAATATAATTTTATATATTATTTAAATAATTAATTTTTTATTTATTTAAAATTTATAATATTAAATATATTTATTTATTTAATAATATGTAAAAATTATTAAAAAATTATAAAAAAAAAAATTATAAGCTATGTCATTACTTAACTAAATTTGATGAGTTAAGAGATAATGTAAAAAAAACAGGGTGAAATAATGACCTCCATTTTTTTTAGTATTTGTTACATACTCTTATAAAGCTGCCCTGGGGCATGCATGCACATAAATGTAGGCTCCATGGCCAAATTGCTTTATCTCTTTTCAAATTTTCAGCTTGTCTCTTTCAGACAGAACTTCTGTCACATTTCTTTCTTTCTTTCTTTCTTTCCTGTCTCAAGAGTTCTTGAGCTATGGATTCATCCATGAATATTGCTGCACTCTCTCTTTGCATTATGCTACTCAGCTCTGTTTCTCCTAATGGAGCTATTCCAACAACACTTGATGGACCCTTCAAGCCTGTTACAGTCCCTCTTGACAAGAGTTTCAGGGGAAATGCTGTAGACCTGCCAGGCACCGACCCTCGAGTGCAAAGAATTGCTAAAGGTTTTGAACCTGAGCAAATCTCAGTCTCCCTCTCCAGCACCCCTGACTCTGTTTGGATCTCTTGGATCACAGGTCACTTGCTTTACCCCTGTCCTCCTAGTTTTTACCATAACCTTTTCAATTTCTTTGTCTTGATTTCTAGTTAATTAACATCTTTATCCTGTCTTTTGTGAAATGAAAATTTCAAGAACTAGTGAAGAATGATACATTTTTCTTTATGTTACTCTGGATTGAAATTTATGCAGGGAAATATCAGATTGGTGAGAATATAAAACCATTGGATCCGAAAACCGTGGCTAGTGTTGTTCAGTATGGCATTGCTAGATCTCAGCTGGAAAATGAAAGAAAAGGGTATTCTCTCATCTATAATCAACTCTACCCATTTGAAGGCCTCCAGAATTACACCTCAGGGATTATACATCATGTTCGTCTTAGAGGTTTGTATTTCCCTTTTCCTTCTATTACATTATAAAATTAACACTAGAAATTACCTTAGTTATTAGGAGCATATCTGAGTTCCCTTTTCACTTGATGAATGTAGTTTTTACTGTGTAAGAAAATTTGCAGGATTACAACCTGATACTCTATATCACTATAAATGTGGAGATCCTTCCATCTCTGCAATGAGTGACATACACTACTTCAGGACAATGCCGGCTTCTAGTCCAAGTAGCTACCCGGCAAGGATTGGAGTGGTTGGAGACTTGGGGCTTACTTATAACACAACTTCCACAATCCATCACCTTATGGCCAATCATCCTGATCTTGTCCTGTTAATTGGAGATGCAACCTATGCCGACTTGTATCGTACCAATGGAATTGGTGCTGATTGCTACTCCTGCTCATTTGCAAATACCCTCATCCGTACAACTTATCAGCCCCGCTGGGATTACTGGGGAAGGTGAAACTTGAAACCATTGAAAAATTATCCATCATTTTTATGCCATGTGTGGTGTTACTTTTGGAGAAAGTTAATTCACAAAACATCAGTGGTATATAACCGGTTTGCAGATTTATGGAGCCTCTAGTGTCTAGAGTCCCATTAATGATGATAGAAGGGAACCATGAGATAGAACAACAAGTTGGAAATAAGACATTTGCAGCTTACAGCGCTCGCTTTGCGTTTCCTTCCAAAGAGAGTGGATCATCATCAACATTCTATTATTCTTTCAATGCAGGCGGCATCCATTTTGTGATGCTTGGTTCATATGCTAACTATGACAAATACGGTGAGCACAATAGATTGACCTGAATACAATCTTTCACCTTCTCTTCCATTAACATGTACTTATATTAAGTTTTGTATTACAGGAGATCAATACAAGTGGCTGGAGAATGACCTTGCCAAAGTTGACAGGACAGTGACTCCATGGCTGGTGGCGACATGGCATGCTCCTTGGTATAGCACCTACACGGCACATTACAGAGAAGCAGAGTGTATGAGGGTAGCAATGGAAGAATTACTTTACAAGAATAGAGTAGACATAGTTTTCAATGGACATGTATGTGTAATGCTACAAAACCTTTTCTTCTTTAGCAACCTTGCAGGACGTCACTCTACTATTTTTGGTATCAATTTTGTCATGTCTTAAATTTGGCATTATTAACAGGTTCATGCCTATGAGAGGTCAAACCGGGTATACAACTACACATTGGATCCCTGTGGCCCTGTACACATCACAGTTGGTGATGGTGGTAACCGGGAGAAAATGGCAATTACACATGCTGATGAACCTGGAAATTGTCCAGTGCCATCTAGCACACCAGATAAGTTCATGGGTGGATTTTGTGCATTCAATTTTACATCAGGGCCAGCAGCAGGCAAATTTTGCTGGGACAAGCAGCCTGACTATAGTGCATACAGAGAGAGTAGTTTTGGTCATGGAATTCTACAGGTACATCTATATCTATATCTGATCTCCCACAGCTACAAAATAGAATTCACCTGCAAAATGGATTTGTTTATGGTTTTGGACTGGTTTGCTAATTAGTGGGGTAAAATGTGGTTTGAAGGTGAAAAATAAGACTCATGCTCTATGGACATGGCACCGCAATCAGGATGCTTATAACTCTATTGGTGATGTGATATACATAGTAAGACAACCTGAGAGGTGTCCCATTGAATAAAAGGTAAACTTATAAATTTTTCTTTTATATTTACAAGACCATACTCTTGAACGGTTTGAACCTATATAATCTGATTGGAGGGCTAATTCCCATATTTTTTGGTTCCCCTTTTCTTCTTAACATGAAGCGTCTCCATGATGTATGAGCAAGCACAGGAAGAGGAATCAGCTGACGGCAGAGAAAAGAACCAAAAGTGACACTGAAAACTGTTGTTTGTAATTGTTGAAGGAATTGAGACCAAGTCTTTTAATTTTATTGTGACAGTTATGTGTTAGTAGTTATCTTTATGTGGCAGTTTTCTTTATGTGGCAGTTTTCTTTATATAATTTTGTGATTCACGCTTCATGGTGTAGTAGTTTATTTTACAGTTACTTAACTTCCTTATGTTTTAGTAACTGTTATGTTTGAGTTGCTGGTTTGCTTTGAAAAACAGTACACACGCTTTATTTTATGTTTATGTTTGCTGTTATATACCAGATAAAACTTAGTTTATGTTCTTTTAATTTCAGTGTTTATATTCATGTTAATTCCAGTTAAATCTTGAGTTTATATCTATTTTCACTCGTATTACATCTTTACTTTCACAGTAATTTCATCTGTACTCTGCAATAGGTTTTGGAATAAGAAAATTCAGCTCTATTTGCAGCATAATATATGCCAAAATATTTATGAAAATTCTTTTATCTATTTTTTTTAATGTAAGACAAATTTCATTTGAAAAATAGCATAAAATACAAGACTGATAGCATAAGAAAAGAAAGCATGGTATGACGGTCACCAATCCTATCTAGCAATTATCAAGATTTTTATAGTTAGTCTAGTACTAAATAAGTAATTCAGGAGAAATCCCAGAAACATGATACCATCATATACCTTATTTTTATAGGTTCTACTACCTAAAATTGATGGCTGGTGAAAGTACTCAAAACTAAAGCACTCTCCCTGTCCCATAATAATAGTAAAATACAAGTCTTTTTGAGGTCCATAATTTTCTTACAAATCATTCCACACCATCAAATCACCATTCCTAATTTTTGAGTTTTTATCTCCAAAAAATAACCCTCTGATTTTTAACCAGCGGTGCCATCTTATCAATCAAGAGATACTAAATCTAAATCAAACTCTCAATGTCCAATACCAGGTTTTTATGTTAAATCTTTTGTGCATGTATGCAGTGATGGAAATAAGCTGACCCATGAGCAAGTGGTGTAGTGTAGTATAGTTTTCTGCCTCACACACAGATTGTCTGCCGATAATCTTCCTTCTCTACAATTTGTTTTAGCTGCTGATTTATAATGATCATGTCTAATGGAATGAATGCAGCTATGCGTTTTCAAAAAAAAAAAAACAAAACAAACAAACAAACCTTTTAATTTTGTCATTTACTAGCACACTTGCTATTACCGGTTATGTATTTCAAATGATTGGTGATGTGGCTAAATATAAGTGGGGGACAAACGTTAGCGTCTGAGAGGTCCTTTTCAGAAAATTTTGTAGGGTGTCTGTTTAAAAATTTATTTATTTATTTTTACAA